GATGCTTTTGCCACTCATTCCCAGTTAGGCTTACCTCAACCTCCAACACAGATGGTTCTTGGGATCCTCCCGTCATTCCAGAAATACAGATGGATTCTGCCCCTTTGTAATCTGATGGTATTAGAGTACACTGTGCACCGGTGTCCACTAGAACTTTATACTCCGTGGGGCTGATGTGCCAGGCCGTCGAATCCGCACAGTCCAGTAAGCCTGGTTGTCCCTTTCCGCTGCCTGGCTGAAGGCAGGGCCCCTCTAGTCCTGGCCAGAGTCTTCATTACTTGATTTTTGTAACTGCAAAACAGAAGTCCCTTCATCAGGGTCAAAAGTATGATCAGCCCTTCTACTTTGCCCAACTGGAGCAGTAATTTTCCTGGTTGGATGCTTTTTGGCTGTTGTTTTTCCTTGCAGTTCCTGTATCCAAGCTTCTAGTCTCCAGGTGGGTTCACCATCCCACTTCCTCATGTCCTCCCCCTGGTCACGCAGGAAGAACCACAGGCTTGCAAGTGGTGTGTGCCACCGATACCCTTTCCCTTGAATAGAAAAAGGCTGACTCTTAATAGCTGATGCCTTGGTTGGAATGCATGAGGAAGGCTTACCTTTCTCGGCTTGCTCGGACATTTTTTGGGTCAGTCTGTCCACAGCCAAGACACAGGCCCACATGGAGGAAGCGAGATTACCTTTCTATTCTTGGAGTTGTCTGGCCAGTCATCTGCAGTTGGTGCCTCCATGTCTGTCCAGCTCATTATCGCCAGAGTGTGGGTGTGTGATGTTGGTGCATTTTGTACAAACTTTCGCCACATGGACCGCATGCACCGGATTTCATCCGGGTCTTTGGATGCCTGGTTGTCATCCAGGTTGTTATAGATCACCTGCAACATGGCTAATTCCCTCAGATACTGGATACTTTCCTCAATGTTGGTCTATTGGCTTCGGGAATTTGCAAGATCTTCCTTGAAGGGATACCTGTCCTTCACACTTGACAGGAGTCGCCACCAAAGACTGAGGACTCCTGCCTTTTTTCCAATCCCTTTGTGAATGGCCTTACCCTTAACAAGAGATCTTAGCTGCTGGGCTTCCTTATCCTCTAATTCCTGATTACTGGCCCCAATATCCCAGCATTGGAGTAACCAGCTGAGAATTAGCTCCCCTGGTTGACGGCTAAAATCTTTTCACATATCTCGCAGCTCACTTAGGGATAGGGATCGGGTGGTTTCTGTCTCATTTATGATTTCAGTCTCTTCCTCTTCCTGTTCTTGTGACTGCTCTGCTGCAGAACAGGCTGCCTCTCCTGATTCTTTCTCCTGCTCCCTCTTAGGAGAAGCTTCTTCATCCCTTACTAAACGAGCTGACTTCAGCTTCCATTGTTTCTTTTTAGTTATAGGGGTGACTGATATAGTGTCTGGTTTAGCCATAATGTCTGTTGGTATGTTTTTCCCTCTCTTCTCCCTGAGGGTGCTGCATAATATCGAACAGTGTTTGGTAGTTGCTGGCCAGGGCCCAGAAGAGTGTGGTAAGTTGTGCCTCTTTGGAATAGCCATGGCATTTTTTTTTCAAGCATTCTGTCTTTTAATCAGGATCCTGTAGTTGTTCATGAGTGAAGTTCCAGACCATTGGAGGTGAGAAGTTCTCTAGATACCTGTCCATATTGTCCCACATGCCATGCCACCCATGACCATACTCTCACAGAGCCTGGGTCATATTCCTAAATTGCTGGTGAACCTTAGACAAAACCGAAGCAATATTCCTAAGAAATACAAATAGAAGTATTTTAACTACCCAAGGATGCTCAAGATACTGAGAAGTTATTGTAACGAGGGAGAAAACATCACAGAAGATGGTAGTGAAGGTGCCATTCTGTATTTCCTCCACAAAAAACCTCTCAGAGAAAGAAGTATAATTGTTAATTATCTCCATGAGATGGTATCCAAAGTACAGTAATGGCTTCAGTATAGAGCCTAAATACCATATTAAGCTCAAGGTCAGTGTTTTAATAGCAAATCTCCCAGGCAAAACATCACTAATCACTGCAGACCACAACAAACTGCAAAAACCAACATCAATCTTTAACGTGTACAGCAAAAAAATCAGCATGGCGCAGATAAACTGATATCGAGAACAAATTAATCAATATCGTGACCCACAGCTGTTAACAGATATAAATACCTTCTAATATGCTCTGGTTAATCTGTAATTATCTCAAACCCTACGAGCCCCACGTTGAGCGCCAAAAAGGTCTGTCGTGGTTTAACTCCCGCCGGCAACTGAGCAGCACACAGCTGCTTGCTCACTCCCCACGTGAGCAGGATGGGGGAAAAAGCCTTGACTCTGTGTAAGCACTGCTCAGCGTTAACGAAAACATCCCTGTGTTATCAACACCATTTTCAGCATAAATCCAAAACGTAGCCCCATACTAGCTACTATGAAGGAAGTTAGCTCTACCCCAGCCAAAACCAGCACAAGCTGTATGTCCCCTACGAACAAGCTTTTTGTCTCCTTCAAAGAATGCCAGGAGGTTTGTAAGGCAAAGCCTCCCTTCCAATAATGCCTTGAGCTCTTCTGCAGTATATTGTATTTGTTCGCGTGTCTGCTGAATCTGTTCTTTGCTGTAATTACTACCAATTTGTCCAGTGCAGATGATAAGCTTACTAGTCCCTAGCTCATTGGGTCTGTCCTGGAACCCATTTTAAAAACTGGCATCACATCTGCGCCCTTCCAGTCCACAGGCACTCAGGCACTTCTAATTCAAAGGTTGCACATCACACTTACAAGCTGAGCTACTTTATCTTTGAGTTTCTTGGTGAATTACATCTGGTCCTGGCTGTTATCATTCATTTTATCTATTTCTTCCATAGCCTCTTCTACCAACACTTAAATTTGAGTCAGCTCTTGTAATGAGTTCCTGGTAAAGAAGGTTTCTGGCCTGAGAGCCTTTTCATGTGCATCCACAGTGAACACAAAAATAGAGGATTAATTTTGTTTCTTTTTTATGGCCCTGTCTTCCCTGAGTGCTCCTTTTATCCTCTGAATATCTGCTGGGTCTTTGGACTCCCTGACAGACTTCCTGTGCCCGATATCTTTTAAAAAATAATTATTGTTGTTTTTTGCAAACTTTCTTCAAGTGGTCTTCTGGTTTGCCTTACTGTGTTTTTATATTTAACCTGCCAAAGTTTCATCCTCTCTAGTTTCCATATTTGGACACCACTTCAATGTTTTCAAACTTGCCATCTTGCATTTACTAATCTTTCTTGCACTGTTGTTTAGCCATGCTGGCTTCCTTTTGCTTTTCTCAAATCTTTCATGACAGGAAGTATGCATATCCTTTTTACCTTCAGTATAGTCTCTAAATTGTGCTCATGCTGCTGGCAGAGTTTTAACTCTTTTGGCCAGGTTTTTACCATCTTTTAGCTACCCTTTTTAGCATATTTTTAACAGGTTTCATTATTTTTAGTAGTTCTTCTTTTCGGAGTTGACCACAATCATAATTACTTTTTTTACTTTTTTTTTTTTGCTGCTGCCAATGTTTTAAAGCATATTGTGGTCACTTTCACAGAGTTGTTCTTTGTCAGTAAATCATGATGAAGGCAGCTGAGTTGAATTGAAATAGAACATATCTCCAGAGGGTAAAAACATACAGCATTTTGGTCCAGATTCTTAAGTACCATTATTTCCCCTAAAAACTTTCCTAGAATTCTTTGTTTTGGAAGCGAGCTTCCCTCTAAGCTCCAGGCTGGAGACAAGCTAAATGATTCTGTGTAGTGCAATCTACTGCATCAGTATCTATCTGTTTAAGAGTGTGAGTGAAGCATGCAGACAATTATTTTAAAAATGCTTTAGTATACCTGGTTAGACTTTGTTGCAGAAGCATCCTGCCTATGTCTTGGCACAGTCATATGCTAATAAATATCAGAAGAGCAGAATAAAACAGGCTGCTTGGACCCTAGGGATTCACCTAACCTGAAGGAATCTTCATGAGACTCTTTAAAACACAATTATAGCCCTTTTGTCTACTGCATTCTATCTGACTAATTTTATTTTAATATAATTAGTAACATATGTTCAAAATACATAAAATAGAGTGTACATTTTTCAAATGGATTGAATATATCTACCTTTACCCTCTCTTTATAAATCTTATCTCCCATAATTGACTTGGTGAAATAACCTGCTGAATTTACTCTAGGAAGCACTGTGTTATCCACCAAAATAGCAATTATTTTCACCATTGTCTCTAATTAACCAGAGAACAGTTGTGTTAGTAGTGCTGGCCACCTCTGACTATTTTTATTAATATGGGATGTGATTCACTGGTGACTGAACATATGGTACAGAGTACATCAGCTTGTTTTGCTTGATGTTTCTTACAGAATTCATAACCTCTGTTATTTTTCTTTAAAAGGTAAACTGCACAGCCTCATCTTTTTCCCAAATATGTTCCAAGTGCATAACACAGCAAAATAAATCCATGTAGGTATGTTAATACTCTCCTAGTTCTATTGCTCTAAGAAGTTTCTTCTTCAGCTAATCAAAATATGGCTGTACATTTTTAACAAGTCTTCTTCAAGCCCAGCTGGAGCCTTTGCTTAGATAACACTGCATAGCCCCAGAAAGGGAAAAAGATAGAGTGTTTAGTTTAAGTTAAACTGTTTTAGACATTTCATTCAGAGGACTTCAAGCAGGAACATAAGATTGCAACATAACTTTTAAGCTAATCTGTACCGGCATTGCCAGGATCCTACTATTTGTCCTCTCCAGCTCTATACTCAGCACCCCTCATGTCAGCGCTTGCAGTCATCTGACTGCAAAAAGAGAGTCGGTTCAAAAAGCTACATTGACAAAAGGACATTTAACTTTTTTTTTTTTTTAAAAAAGGAGTTAATTTTCTTCTGGGCTGGCTCTCAGATCACCATGGAGTTAGAAAAGAATGGGAACTGGTGGTAAGGCCAGAGGAGGAAACAGCAAAAACAGAAGTTTCTGAAGCTATATCTGACATATACAGACTTTGACTTTACTGTTAGCTGGATCTTTGTGACAATAGGCACTAGTAAAACCTCTGAGATTGCTTACTGCCATCTTCCA